AGGCCTCGACTCTCGAAGATGCGAGGTGGCCGCTGTTCTCCATTCTCGAATATCGATTCTCGAGGATCGATTCTCAAGGCCGCCGCCGCAGCCAAGACCTCGCCGTCGACGGAATCAGCATGAATACGGCGGAGGCAACCCAAATCTCCGACGATCTGATTGCTTCAGTCCGAATATGTTTTTACTCGGTTTCGGCCTATGGGGTCCGCTGTCGGTCCCAAGGGCCCTCGAAACCCGATACGGGACGAACAAATACCCCAAGGAAAGAGTTGGGAGCTGAGGGGCCGATCCTCATAAGAAGCGAGGAAACCTCGATTCTCGATCATCGAGGATCGACTCTCGAAGATCGCGCCTCTCCAGCCTCCACAAACCTCCAGGAGACCCCGTAGACCTCCACAGGCCCCCCGAGACCGCTGCAACGCATCCAGTGGCCAAAGCCGTCGTCGTCTTCGCTGCTGTGATCGACTGGGAGTCGTGTCAGGATCCCCGACGACCGAGACGGCGAGGACGAGGACGAGAGCGACGACGACGAATCCCGAGATCTTACGTCAAGAACAACTGAAACATGGTTTAAACCTCGACCAGAGATCTTGACCTCATCTGCCTGCTATATGTAAAAAAAACTGGATCGCTCCATGAGGGATCTCGGGCCTCGACGCAAGGCAGAACCGCCCACTGTGACAAAATTGCGACGCAAGGATCTCAATGAAGTGCGACGAAGACGACGACGGCAAGGAGAACCAGGACGACGACGACAGCGGCGGCGAAGACGGGGCGGCGGGAAACTGGCGGCCCTGGCCGCGGCGCGCCGAGGCCGACGCTGCCTGCCGCCCTCGCCTCCAGCGTCAACGACTCCTCCGTCCTCGTCCTCTTCGTGCGTCCCTCGAGCGCTCCGCGGTCTCCAGAATGACTCCGCGACAGAGTCTGACCCACGACAGAGGAACATCCTTCAAGAACATGCGACCCTCCGCCAGCCAAAACGAGGAGCATTCGAGGATACCCTCTCACAGAATGCACCACAACATCCAACAAGCACGACGAACACTAAGTAGGGTACCCTACCCGAACCGGACTCGATGTTACACCTCGGTCCGACTGTAGCAGTTTTGTCCGTCCAAGTAAGGCAAGCTTCCTCGAGCCTGGGAGGAGCGAGCCCAGACTGCCGAAGCACCGACCCGACCCAACCCGTCCTCCTCTTTGTCCTCTCCCTCCCCCTTTCCATCCTTCTCCTCCACCTCCACCTCCTCTCTCCTCTCGCCTCTCTCCCCCTCCCCCCTCTGTTCTCTCCTGCTTCTGCCCTCCCGACGACATCTTCGTTTTTTGCATTTCCCTTCGGATTATCGCCGCCTCCGCCGCCGTCGTCGTTGTCATCGTCATCGAGACTGGAAGTGTCGTCTCAACCATGCGGAAGAGGGAGTGTCGTTGAGGTCGAGGTCGTCGAGGTCGTCACTATGATCGCGGTCGAAGTTGCAAAGGTCAGGAGGTCAAGGTCGAGGTCGTCGAGGTCGAGAGCGTCGAAATCGTCACCGTTAATGTGGTCGAAGATCCTGTAAGAGACGAGGAGGAGGAGGAGGAGGAGGAGGAGGAGGAGGAGGACAGGGCGAGGAGATGGAGGAGGAGGCGGAGGAGGAGCACCTGCATGTCCCTCGCAGCCTGCGCCTCCGCCTCGGCCTTCGCCGCGTTCGCCGCCTCCTCCAAGGGGGGAATCTGAACACGACGCAGGGGCCTTCCCAAGAGCTCCGACGTCGCGCTCGCTTCGCAAAGTGAGCCCTGGGCAGTCTCAACTCCTTCCCTGGGGCCAACTCTTGCGCCTGCCTCCTTCCTCGACGGCCCAGGACGACGGACAATGACCCTCCGCCGCGATCTTCTCGCGACGCGAGGGGGCGACTTTTCGGGACACAGCTCGGGCCCCCGGCGGCCGATCGAAACCATTCGGGCACTCCCCCGACTCCCCCGGAACGCTCTCGGCGAGGTCCCTGAGATCCCACGTCGCGTGAAAAGGTAAACATCGTCAAAAGACTTCAGTCGGGACTGTCCCTCTACAGGAGGAATGTTCAAAAATAGGCCAACAATAATCTGGGAGGGCGCGCCGCTGGATGTCCCCAAGGGGGGGGAACCCCTCCCCCCTTTCCCCGATCCGTCGTCGGGGACCCCCCCCCCCCCTTTCCCGATCCGTCGTCGGGGAACCCCCCCCCCTCCCCCGTTCCCGGTCCGTCGTCGGGGACCCCCCCCCCGCGCCTTTCAAAAGGGGGGGGGGGTCCGACCCCCCCCCCCTCCCCAACCTTTCGCCACGGCGCCCCCGGCCTCTGGAACCCGACCCATGCCACCCCTAATATATACACCCCCTCCCCCAGGCGACTCGCAGCCAACCAGGGACCATGCGGGCCCCCCCCAGCATTCTTTGTCAAAAGCAATATAAAGCACACTCTGCCTCCAAAGTCAGTCGGGGCATGCGCAGCCAACCCGATGCGGCCTCCCCCCACCCTCCCTGACAAAACAACAGAATACACTTGGCGGCGGCGGTTGCGGCGGCGGCTGCGGCGGCGGCAGCGGCTGCGGCGGCTGCGGCGGCTGCGGCGGTGGCGGCGGCGGCGGCGGCGGCGGCGGTGGCGGCGGCGGCGACAGCGGTGGCGGCAGCGGCTGCGGTTGCTGCGGCGGCTGCGGCGGCGGCGATTCGGCAGCGGGGGCGTCGGCGGCGGCGGCGGGGGGCGCGGTGGCGGCGGCGGCGGGCAGCGGCGGCGGCGCGGCGGCGGCGGCGCGGCGGCGGCGGCGGAGGGCGGCGAAGGCGGCGGCGGCGGATGCGCACCCAGTAGCTGCCCATCCAAAGACGACTGCTGAACATGCTGAGGCTCAGGCCAGGCTCGGGGGCTACCTCTGTGTTGGGAGGGCGGGTGGGAGTGAGCGAGACGGCTTGCGGGCGGGGAGGGAGTCTTGTCCGCTTGTCCTCACCCTTACCCTAATCCTTAAACCTAGCCCTAAACCACAACCCTAGCCCTAGCCCCAAACAGTTCTCGCCACGCACTACGCACTACTCACTATCCACTACCTACCCACTACTCGCAACTCACTACTCTCTTCCCGCTACTCACTACTCGTTACTCACGACTCACTACTCACTACCCACTACTCACCACACACTACCCGCTACTCACTACTCCCTACTTCCGACTCGCTACTCCCAACCCACTACTCACTACTCACTACCCAGTACTCAATACACATTACTCACGAAACACAACTCACCCACTACTCACACATCACAAATCATTACTCACTACCCACGAACCACTATCCACTATGTACTACTCACTACTCACACTTCACTACTCACGACTCACTACCCACTACCCACAACTCACTACTCACAAACCACTACTCGCTACTCCCTACACAGTACTTATTCACTACTCACTCCTCACTACTTGCTACTCCCTACACCCTACTCGCTACCCGATACGCACGATTCACTACCCACTACTCACTACTCACTACGCTCCCACTACTCACTACCCCCTACTTCCTACTCGCTACTCACAACTCACAACTCACTACTCACTACCCAGTACTCAATATTCACTACTCACAAAATAAACTACTCACTGCCCACTACTCACTAAGCACGACCCACTACGCACTAACAACTATCCACTACTCAATACTGAGTACTCACAATTCACTACCCACTGCGCGCTGCCCACAACTCACTATTCACTATCCGCAACTCGTTACTCGCTACTCCATACTCCTTACACAATACTCCCTGCTCACCAGTCACTACTCACTACTCGCTACTCCCTATTCGCTACCCAATACGGAAGATTCACTACCCACTACGCGCTACGCACTACCCACCACTCACTACTCCCTACTCACAGCTCACTAGTCGCAAGTCACTACTCACTAGATACTCACTATTCACTACTCACTACTCACGACTCACGACTCACTACTCCCTACTCGCTACTCCCTACTCACTACTCACTACCCACTACTCAATACCTACTTCTCCCTTCTCACTACTCACTACTCACTGCTGACTACTCCCTACTCACTACTCACTACTCGCTACTCCCTACTCGGTACGCACTACTGCATACTCACTACTCACTACTCACTACAGACTACTGACTACTCCCTCTTCACTACTCACTACTCTGGGGGCTGGGGGGGCCCCCTCCCCAGCCCCCTGTTCGGCGCAAAGGGAGGGAGGGAGGGGGTGGGGTCCAACCCCCCCCCTTTCCAGCGCCAAGGGGGGGAGGGGGGAAGGAGGGGGGGGTCAAAAATCTCTCCCCCCCCTTTGAAGGGGTGGAGGGGGGGGGTGGGGTTCTGCGAGCATGCCCCCCGTTTTCAATTACAGGGTGATCCAGTGGCGCGCTTTCATAATCTGGGGACGAATTTGTCTTGAATCATTTTTGAATATTTGGACTATTTTGAAATTTTCGCCCCGAATCCGCCTGTAGGGGGACATGCCCGACCAAACGAAAGACCCAGCCCAATTTTTTGGTTGCATTTCTCGAGCCGGATCTCCAGAAGAGGGCTGGATGCAGGCGAAAACAGCCACTGCGAAAACATCGCGACGCCAGGAATTCACGCGAGGCACAGCTGCTGAAAAGCAGCTCCCCGAGGCGAGAAAAACTCCAGGAACCAACGACACCACCAGAGAAGACCTGCAAATAATCTCCCGAAAACTTCTGGAACCCGCGCCCGACCTTTGTTTCTGAGCCTCGATCCTCGGACCTTGAGCACCGAGGAGGGGATGAGGGGGAGGCGGGCGAGGAGGAGGAGGAGAACGAGAAGGATGCATCCTGAGGCTGGAAAGCGTAAAACAAAAAAAGCCTCCCTCCTTCCGTACCCCCCACACCGACGAAAACCCCCGGAAGACCTCCGAGGAGCTCTGGGCTCAGGGACGCACTAACCCAGCTCAGCGCAAACCCGGCTCCGCCACTCAAGGGAAAAACGCGCTGCATCTTTCCAGGGGAAGGGGGCTTCCCAGACCTTGCTCAGCCGATACGGCAGGGCACATCCAGGGCCGCGAGCGGCTCCCAGACCTGGGCCAGCCGAACTCTGGCGTTGCAGGATCCTGTCGACTACACGTAAGGGTGACCCTGGGCAAGAGTGACCTTTGGTGCGCGGCTTTTTGGGGGCCGCGGGGGGGGCCAAAAACGAGCGCACGAGACGCACCTACCGTATCGCGTCCGGCGATCGGGGGGCCCCGTTGGGCCCGCACCAAAGGTCACTCCGGCGAAAGGTCACTCTTACGTGTAGTCGATCCTGGGAGATCGAGCGTCCTGGCTCAATCACGCTTGCGCTGAACCGGGCTACTTCGGACGCCCGGAATGGGTTCGGAACAAATGGGCACGGTGCCCAACAACAACTGTTGTCCAAAACCGACAGCAGCCGTTGTTGGGCAGGCGGTCTGTAATCTCAATTTGACAGCGCCCGCGACGACACCGACGGCGAATCCTGTTCAAGATGGGCAGGGACTGCTGTTGGTCTTCGTACCCCTTCTTTCCTGAGGAGCAACGATAGGGAGGACTGGCAGGGGAGGGAAAAATCGACCTGGAATCGGTGATACATCGCCGATAGATCTGCGATAGGCCCCCGAAAGCAAATCCCAACGCGGGGGTGGGGCTATCGGGCCCCAATCGGCGATGAATGGACGATTGGGGGGCGATGCACCCCCCCCTTTTGCCCATCCCACCCTGCCCTTGCCCCTCACTTCGGGGGAAACCGAAAGGTACCGGTACCGCCACTCCCTGGACGTCTCCCGGTCTGCGCTCTGACCAGAAGTTCGAGGCGAATCCAGCGGTGGCGACGAGGGCCTCCCAGGAGGCCCAAAGAGGAGAAAACGGGCAAATGGTAGCGGTATCGGTGCCTATCCCACCTTATCTAGAGGCCTTCTAGATGGGGTCCGAGTAAATCGGGTCGAAGGATCGCGCCGTATCGTCAATGCATCGCCGATGTATCAGCGATGCATCGGCGATGCATCGGCGACGTCGGCGTGGGGAAACACGGGCTCCACATCGAGCCACATCGTCGATGCATCGGCGATGCGGCGCGATCCTCCGACCCCAGCTACTCCGACCCCATCTGGGAGGCCTAGACTATCGATGCCCCTGACTCCCGTATCCATTTCGATCGTACCGAGTCGCGTGCGCCCATGTGGGCCTGAGCGCCTCTGGGGGCCACGCCTTCCATGTCCGAGCCCCGCTCCTCCGCCTCGCGCCCCGCCAAGGCCTCCGCCTCCTCGGGCGTGGTCTGCGCGGGCTCCGAGGGTGCGGCAGTGGCGGCCTCGCTCGAGGAAGAGATCTCGCCATCGCTCGGACGTCCATTCCCCGTGCATGTTTCGGTTTCGTGCATTTTTTTTCGCAAGATGGTCCAGGATGCTCCTCACTGGTCCCCGCCGAGAAAAAATGCACACGTCCGAGCGATGCCAAGAGATGAGAGGGGGAACGGTAGGGGGGGGAGCAGCTCCTGGGGGGAAACATCGAGCTGGAATCGGTGATACATTACCGACCGATCGGCGATAGGCCTCCGGTAGAGAAGCCCCACGTGCATGAGCCTGGTGAGGCTATCGGGCCCCTATCGGAGATGAATGAGTGATTTGGGGATCGGTGCATCCCTCCCTGAGCTTACCCCCCCGACCGTTGCCCCTGTGGAGAGGGAAGATAAATCCTGCAAGTCGAAGATGATGCAGGGGAGGCAGTGGAAGGGGAGAAAGAAGGGAAGGAGGAGCGAGCGAACGATGCCTGGGCAACTGGCTTCTCCCGACGGTGGCACTGCGAACGGACCCGTGGAACACCGCTCGTCGGCACCCCTCTTGGGAGGCCCAAGTTCATTGCCTGCTACATCGCGATGACCATGGAGTTTTCAACTAAGGCACCTACCTTCGCGCTTCGCGCTCCGCGAAACGCGATCATCTTCGCGCTTTCTCGCCGCTCGCCCCCCGAACAGGATGAGGGGGGACTCGCGCCTCGCTCTGAAATCGTCCAGACCGCGAAGCGCGACGAACTTCACAGCCTCGTGGTGGCCCCAGCACCCCCCAACACAGAAAGTGTCACCCTGTCTGCGAGGTGTGTCAACAACCTGGGCCGGGGGCGACCGGCCCCATGGAACACCCCTGGTCGACGTCTCCTGGGAGCTCCAGAGTGCCATGCCTGCCACATCGCCCCTCCCCGCCACCCCCCCAAAAACAGAACGGCCGATCTGCCTGAGAGGTCCCGCCAATCTGGGCGCGAACGGGTCCGTGGACCTCCACTGATCGACATCCCTTTGGGAGGCGCAAGTGCTACGCATGCTGAAGCGCGATGGTCATGAGCATGAGGTATGATGCGCATGAATATGAGAGAGTATCCTGAGTGAGCCTGCGTGTGAGCGAGTCTGAGTATGAGAAAAACCGAATGTGTGTGTGCGTGTGACTTGGACATGAGTCGTCTGAGTGCGACTGAGCCAGGCTGTAAGAAAGTGTTTGCGAGTGAGTCTGTGCTCAATCGAGTCTGGATCTGATTGAGTCGTGGTTTGAATGAATGTGTTTGTGAGTGAGTCTGAATACGATTGTTTCAGAGTATGGGTGAGTCTGGGTGTGATTCAGTCTGAATTTGAATGCCTCGTTGTTGGAGCGGTTCTGTATACGAGCGAATCTGAGTATGACTAAGCCTGAGCATGAGTGAGTCTGAGTGCGAGAGCGTCACGGCACGAGTGAGTCTGAGTGCGAGTGAATGTGAATGGCTCTGGCTGTGGCGGCATCTGGGTATAAGAGGAAGACGAGAGGCGGCGCGAGGCGGAAGGGTGCCCCACTCTCATGACAAAGGCCGGAAAAAACAAGAAAACGCCGAATGCCTGGAACCAAACCGCGAGGATCGAGGAGTGGGGGGAGATAGTGATGAGGTCGACGAGAAGCCGCCGCCTCCCCTCGATCCTCGAACCTCGAGAGCCGAGGAGGAGGAGGAGGAGGACGATGAGGAGGATGACGAGAAGGAGGAGGAGGACGAGAAGGAGGACGATGAGGAGGAAGACTAGAAGGACGACAAGGAGGAGGAGGACAAGGAGGAAACGTGGAGGACGAGGAGGCGGAGGGGACGAGGAGAAGGGCGAGGAGGAGGAGGAAAAGGAGGACGAAGGCTCCGGGGGCACGCGTGTGCGAAGCACTTGGCCTCTGCCCAAGGCAAAAGGTATCAACGGACGCTGATGCCTTATGCGCCCTAGAGGGAGCGTTTGCATGCTGTGCGTGCGTCGCCGCAACACGACCATCATCATGATGATGAGTATCATGACGTGCTGATGTGCCAAACCACTGAATGCAAACGAAACGCTAGCTCCCCTCATGTGCATCCAATCGTGCATCGCCACAGGAACATCATCACGATGACATCTGTTATGAAGCCCGACGGGAACGCGCCACGAGCGTCGTGAGCGCAGCATCGAGGTGAGAAGTGTCACAATGATGAAAGTCGTGCAACGAAGCCGAAACGGCTTCGCTGGGAGCTCCGCCTCGAGCTCGGGCGCCAGTGTGGCGTCCAGAGCGAGGGCCACCTCCTCCAAGAGCTGACGTGCTGAGCTGCCTGCGCCTGGCTGACCCCCGCGCGCGCCGACCGCCGGGCGCGCGCAGACGGCAGCGGGGCGACGAGGATGACCCGCCGTCGCGCCACGGGGGTAGCCTTCGAAGCTGCTCTGCCCCCTTGGTGGGCCATGATTGCACTCTCAGAAGATGTCCGGCCCTCACGGTGCCCCCGTTCGCCGCGCTGTCTCCGAGAGCCGGCCGCGCGAGAGCAGACGGACCACAGCCCGCAGGGAGGGAGCGCGTCCATCAAATCCTCACGTGCTTCCCCGCAGGTGCGGATTCGACCCGGGGGTGCTCACGTGGGAAGCGGACCGGTCGGGGCGCGAGGACGGCGACGACAACGCTGCACCACGACGCCACGAATATACACCATGGGGTCCTACTTCGGCACCGATCACACGGACTGTGCAAAACCGTTCGGCCCACTCAAGAGCCCTCTAGACATAAAGCCGTGCAGACGAGCCCTCTAGACATACGCCATTTCGCGGCCATTTGCCTTTCGGTGCCACAACGACAACACATTGTGTTTACTGGGTCGACCGGCACTTCGCCTGAGATACAACATACGTTTCTCCGCAACGAACTGTTCAAAACCTGTGCGCTTTCCCTAGCACAATGTTAGCCATCGTGGGGGCCCAAAACAATATGTTTCTATCAATGTATGTTGCAAAGCCCGTGGAACAATATATGTGGTGCAATATACCCGTTACACTGTGTAATTTGCAATATGTGTGGTACTATCTACGTTGTGCAGTCTGGGTTGTGCAATATTTGTGGTGCAACCTATGTGATACCATACCTATACGTCCATAGATTCAAATACAACATATATGTGGTGCAACATATGTGGTGCAAACCATGGTGTGCTACCTACGTGGTGCAATATAGGCGGTGCAGTCTATGTGGTGCGCAGCGTATATGGTGCTATCGACGTGGTACACTACGTGTGGTGCAACCGACGAGGTGAATTCCAAGTTGTGCAGTTAAGTTATGTTCGCAGTGAGTTGTCCACTTCATTGATCGCGCAAACATCCCATCCACCCACCCGCAACTTGTTTTGCAAAATCTCTTAAGACCGTGACGGTGGGTACCAAATGGCACTTGGCAACGACAGCGACGCCGACGACGACGACGACGACAACGACGACGACGCCGCCGCCGACAGCGACTACGACGACACCGACGTCGTCTCCAACGACATATACGACGCCGACAACGACGACGATGACGAAGACGACGACACCGACGACGACGACGCCGACGCCGACGACGACGATGACAACGACGACGACGACGACGCCGACGACGACGACAACGACGACGCCGACGACGACGACGACGACGACGTCAACGACGCCGACGACGACGACGACGACGACGACGACGACGACGACGGCGGCGACGACGACAACGCCGACGTCGACGACGACGAAGACGACGACGACGCCGACGACGACGACGAAGACGACGACGACGTCACCAACGAAGACGACGACGAGGGAGGAGGGAGGACGACGATGGCGACAACGACGACATCGACGACAACGACGACAACGACGAGGGAGGAGGGAGGACGGCGACGACGCGAACGACGAAGAAAGAGGAAGGACGGCGACGCCGACGACGACAACGACGAGGGAGGAGGGAAAACGACGACGACGACAACGACGACGACGACGACGGCGACGAAATGGGAGGGACGACGACGAGACGCCGACGACAGACGACGACGACGAGGGAGGAGGAGGAAGGACGACCACGGCGACAACGACGACGGAAACGACCACGGCGCCAAAGAGGACGACGACGACGAACACGAGGAAAGACAGAGGACGACGTAGGCGACGACGACGACGACGCGGGAGGAGGGAGGACGGCGACGACGACGACGCAAGAACGCGCGCGCACGCTTTTGTTGAAAAGCCGTGTTGCGATACCTGTGTTTTTATACATTCTTGGGACACACGATGTCGAAATCCTTCCGAAGCCGATGGGTTTTGAAGGTTTTCGGCATACGCGCGAGACGACGCGCGCGTCTGCACTTCGTCCCATTTGTTGCAAAGAATTCTCGAGACGGCACACGCGCAAGGGCGTTCGACAGATTTCGACATGCGCGCGCGAAGCCCGTTTGGTAGCAGTCTGTGAAAATCTTGAAAAACCTATGGTTTTCTTAAGATTTCGCAAGAGCTCGCGCGGAAGCTCTTTTAGCAAATCAGTGTTGCGAAACCCTGTGCTTTTGTATGTGTTTTGGAAACTCGATTGCGAAATCCTTCCGACACCGAAGGTTTTTGAAGGATTTCGGCATGCGCGCGCGACGACGCGCGCGTGTGCACTTCGTCAAGTTTGTTGCAAGGGATTCGTGAACAAGTCTGATGTTAGAACAAAAAATGTCCCCGCGTATTGTTTACAAGGGAACCTCAGGGGCAGCGATACTGGCCCCCCTGGGATAGTGCGAATTCATATTTAGGATGGAGATGTGGGCAGAATCATAAATAATTTACATACCCGAAAGGGGGGGGAATAACGCCGGGGGGGGGGGGAGAGTCTATTCTCTTTTTCGAAAGGAGAATCAAAGTGGTGCAATGAATGTGGCGCGATCGTCTTGCGCAACCGACGAGATGGACTCTAATGTGTGCAATCAACGTGGTGCAACGAATGTGGTGCGAAATCTATTTTGTGATATAGGGGTAAGGTGCCACCTACGTGGTGCATTTGGTGTTGTGCAACCTGCCTTGTGCAATCTATGTGGTGCGATCTACGTGGTATGCAAAATTTGCGGTCCAAGATGCGTTGTGAAATTTACGTGGTCGAGCAATCTGTTCTGTACGATACATATGATGCAATGTATGTTGTGCACCCTTTGTCATTGTGCAGCAGATATTGTGCTATCTATATGGTGCGATATATGTTGGGTAATATGCGTGGTTCAATCTGTGTCGCGAGAGCTCAACAATTGCGCCGCAGGCGAGTTTCGTTTTCCGTGCAATCCAACGGCGGCGACGGGCGGCGACGAGGCGGCGACGAAGCGGCGACGGGGCGGCGACGGCGGCCACAAAGCCGGCAGATCGGCGACACGGCCCGGACGACGGGCCACGACAAGGCGGCGACGGGGCGACGACGGTGGGCGCATAGCCGCCAGACCGGAGACACGGCCCAGTCCCTTCGAACAACAGCAAGGACCCCTAAGTGCAACCATTGTCTGGAAAAAATGGCCCTGGCGATGCTCACCGCACGACATAACCAATCTCGTTTCGTGACACCTGGTTGCCAATGCTGCGTGCCCTTCCCATACCGCGAAACGCTTTTTCTCATATTGAAAAATCAAAAGGTTGACCCCCCCAAAGCGCATGCATGCATCAGGCTGCTAATCTCTTCTTCCGCCTCAAGAACGGAACAAGTCGCGCACGCGTGCGCACGGTGCGAGGACTAGGAGGACAACGAGGATGCCGCCGCCTCCTCGGGCGAGGCCTGCGCGGGCGGCGCCGTCTCCGCGGGGGTCACTGCCACGGCCTCGCAGGAGGAAAATTCAAGGAGAACCAATGGTCCCCAGAGCGCATGCCACGGTAGACACCTTCGATCACAAACCTTGCTTGTCAACCCGTATCAGAAGGGCGCACGAGAAGGATGCACGGGCCTTGGAAAGCCGCCATGCTGGCACCTTTACGAGCGGGGCGCGGCCAGCAAACGCGGCCAAAGATGTGCCGAAAGGGAAGGATGCAACAGTAACCTTGGAAAGTCGTTCATCCTTACGATGCGTGTCGACTGTAGACACTTTCGATCCGAGGCCTTGCTACAGTGGATATTGGGGCACCTTCGTCGTCGAAGGTTGAACTTCCCGAAATGCCCCAACGCCTCTGTGCATCCCCTGGGGGCCTTGGAACAAGAGACATCCGTGGGGCACCTGCTGGCAGGCAGGTCTCTTCCACGACGCGCCTAATGTAGCAGAGGATGAAACACAGTGCCAGAAATATATAGAAACGTTCGGAGGTCCGTTTGGAGTCATTGGATCGGCGTTGGAGGCGCCGCCTTTGGGTCCAACGATGATCCAATAAATGCGTGCGGACCCTCATTTGTTTTACTCTTGCGTTTCGCAGAGTAGTAAGCGCCAAGGTTGCTTGTCCACCGAATCCCTTCAAAACGACGCAGGCGGCGTGACGAGCGCCCACACGGTCTGCGCGCCAATGGTGGAGCTGGCCAGGGTCAACGTACACTGAGCTAACACGTGTCCCGAGGATCATCGGGAGAGGGAGGAAGAGCATCGAGGTAAGAGGATATCTGCTGTAAGCCTCCTGGAGGTTTCAATGGTCAACGAACGACACACACTCAAACCTGTAGTGAGGAGGAATGGGGACGAACAAGGCGATGTAAGCGCTGTAGGCATGGGTGCAATGACGGACCCCGAGGGGGCTCCCGTTCGAGCGGGGACCCCCGTCTGACAACGCGCATGCATAGCCCCCCCAGAATTCCACCCCAGGAATTCGGAGGGACGTATAGATGTGAGGTACGGGTGTTGTTTGTCAGCTCTTTCGAAGCCGCCCGCACTTCCCGCGAAGGTCTACGCGATCTGAGCGCGCGTCTCCTCCCGCCGCCTCCCTCCGCGGCCGCCCCCGCCCCTCCCTTTCCTGCAGCCTCCTGCGCTCCGTTCGCGACTCCGCGTCCAAGTTCGCCGCTTTGCCCACGCTGAACGTCCGCCATCGCCGCGACAAAGCAGGTGTTGGGCCACTGGATGCCCCCAGGCCTCTGGGGTCTCAGGGGCCCTCTGCAGAAAACCCTGGGAAGGAGAGAAAGAGGAGGAGAGAAGCGAGGGGGTAAGGGGCCCACCCCCAGCTTCCCGAGGCGGCCGGGTTTGGCGAGGGTGGCGCGATCCAGCGCCTGTCAGTTCGCACTAATGTTGGGCTCCTCGTCGATGCGGCCGGGCTCGGCCGCGGTTGCTGGTCGGTGGCCTGCGGGCCCTGAACTTGGACAAGGACCGACCGAAAGCCGATGTGTTGAAACAAGACAGTCCCCGCCAGAAGTGTTCTAAGATTGGAGGCCTGGACATTGGCACCAACGCTAGCACAGGGGGTTGCCTCCACATGGGGAAGATGATCCTAGATTTCGGTGTTGGTGGTAATTTTTCGGTCACCTTGGAAGCCAGAATATTACCACCATCACCGAGATTGGGATCGACTTCCCTCGGAGGAGGCACACCGCCGATCTTGGTGTTGGTGTCAACCTCTAGGCCTGCGATAAGAACGTTTCGTGCAGACCACAAGAGGTTCCTGGATCATTCTCTGGTGGGCCTGTAGGCACGCCAGGACGCTTCGCCACTGCTCGATGCTGGTCGGCGGACCGCGGGCCCTGCACGGCGAGCTCGGGATCATTCGAAAGACCGGGGGCTTCAAGGCGTAGCTTTAAGTCGGGCGTGTCCCCCTACAGGGGGATTTTCGACGAACAATAAAACATACCCCAAAAATACTCCAGAACGGTCAAAAAATATTCCAAAAATAGTCCCCGGACTATGTTTGGACTATTCTTTGATTATTGTTAGGGTATTTTTTATTTTTCGTCGAAAATCCCCCTGTAGGGGGACAGGCCCGACTTAAGCGTAGCTGCGGCGGGGGAGCCGTGACGACGCGCCTGCGGAAGCGATCTTTGCGGCGGGGGCGGCTCGGCGCGAGTACCGATAGCGCGCTGTCGCGCCCGCTGGCAGGGGGAAGGAAGAGGAGGGGCAGAGGAGCAGCAGGAGAGGCAACGAGGGCGACCAAGGGAGGACGGAGAAGGAGGAGGGGAAGGAGGAGAAGACGGAACGGAGCAGAGGAGGACGACAACAAAAGAAAAGGTGAGGGCGGAGTGGCAAGAGGGCGCGTAGGAAATGTTTGGCACCGGCTGACCGTCTCGGCAGCGAAGACGAGGGTGGGGCGCCTGCCCTGCGGCTGAGTTACCTGGAGGTCCCCAGAGGTATCCAAAAACCAAAACACTGAAAGCCTCAATCCTCGGCGACGGACCCTCGATCGGCGACGACGACGACGACGACGAATGCGACTTCGAGGCCTCCAAACGGTTTGGTGAAGGAACGTACAATTCGCCGGCCCAACGGGCCAGAGGCGTGCTAAGATCTCCGGTAACTTGTTAACAATATTTCTAGTTCGCGCGCGCGGAGCGGCCCCTGGGGGCCCCTGGACGAAAAGTACCCCGGCAAGGTCCCGAGAGAAGCCCGGGAGAAGCCACCAGACCACTCCAGGGGAGGGTATTTTTCGACACCCCTCACGAGGATCGTGGCCTCCGAGGGGGGAGCCGCAATCGACTACCCCCAAGAGCCCCCCAAGAGGCCCTGGGGGCCTCCAAAACGCCGCCAAGGAGCCCCAAGAGACTCCCAAGAGGTCCCCAAGAGGCCCCCAAGAGGCCCTAAAGGGGGCTCCAGGGCCGGCGGCATGAGCGAAGCGATTAAATAATGTTGACATCCCAGAAGACCTCACCTGTTGGTCGGTCGCCGCACGGTGTTGGGACCTTGGAGGCCCCAGTGGCCCGAGACATCCTCGGAGAACGCCCCACGTGCCTCAACCGTGCGGTGGCCCCGAATCCCCGCTGACTCACCAGGCAGCGTGGTCATCGCACCGTTTGGGGGCCCCGGGACGACGACGACGACGACGACGACGACGACGACGACGACGATGAGCCGCTGGGGAAGGAAGCCTCCGCCTCCTCAGGCGCGGACTGCGCGGGCTGCGCCGCCTCCGAGGGGTCGGCAGCGGCGGCCTCGCTTCGAGGTGGAAGGGAGAAGGGTGCGACTCCGCATGGGGTGAAAAACAGTTTTTTTTAATGAATTCAAAAACTTGTTTGTTTTGAGTTTAAATTAAAAATCGGAATTCAAAAACTAGATTATCTGGCTTCGAGAGACGGGTGTGGCTTCGCATGGTGCAGCAAGCCCTGAGCCCATCCCCATCTCCGGAGGCAGCTCCTAGGAGGTCGTTGTGAGGACGACTGCAGGCCACCACGCCCGATTGAGGGGTCGCTGACTGGGCATTGTCCTGGGGTCCAGGGCTCAGGGTGACATCCACATGGGCTTTTGCACCTCGAAAACTAATCCGTCTTGTGATTTACATTTTGCAGATTCGACCCTCGAAAATCCATCGAAACGGCATTTCAGATTTCACCCGTTGCCCTCAACCCAAAGAAAATGCTCGGATTAAACCCGGTTCAGATCAAGCTCGATTGAGCATGGGATTTGGCCGAATTGCAGGGGATTGTGCGTGCTTAAGTGGGACTATGTCGATGCTGAATGTAGCCTCCCAGGAGTTGCAGTTACCCAGAAGATGTACAAACCCAAAGCGATGACAGCCTTAGGGATGTGGATCCTCAAGGTCGGTACCGAGAAAAGGCGATGGCAATCTTAGGGCTAGGGATTCGCCACCATTCTGTCGGAGAGAAGCAACACTCGGGTTCGGGGGACTCGGGTTGTCCTCACGGGACCGTCAGGGAAAATGACGAGACCTGGTCTGAGATTGACGCGAGCTCCCGCCGCAGACATCTTACGAACACTGGACCGTCAAAATTCAGGACGCGCTCCTAAAAACATCGACAAACCCGAATTCTGGCGCACTCGGGCCTTACGCTTCCCCAAAGATAAGAGCCCTGCTGGGTATCAACGCCGAGCTCTCTCGCTGGACGGCCTCCGCGTGAGACATCCTAAGGGGAGGGGGATCGGATGACCTTCAGGAACATCGGGAGACCTCGGAAGGCCTCGGCAAGCCACTCTGGCCCACTGGCCTCGTGACGGCCGTCGGAGTGGACGAACGGGGGGTTCAAGCAAAGGCGGGCTGCTGGCGCGGACCAGCTGCATGTATAGAAGAACAAAAAAACTGCATGAGCATACACGTTCGGAAATCCGCGCGGATTTTTTGGATTGGCGCCGGACCCCGCCGGCACCGCCTCGGGCGCCGCACCTGGCGCGCTCCGCGCGGGCCCAAAACGGGGTCTGGCGCCAATCCATGAGATCCGCGCGGACCTCCGAAAGTACATGTTTATGCAATGTTTCTTCGAATGTAGTCAGATAGGGCTTCCCTGGCGCATACTGGCGCCAGGATGGACCGTCTCGAGAGAGCTGCCACGCGGCGTGGTAGAAACCAGCTGCACTGCGTGCAGCAGAGCTGGTGCCTGCCCTTCCACCTACACGGCCCGACATGCTGGGGACACCTTGTGGCCAAGGACACCTTTGGCAACAACCAACCAACGAACGAAGAAAAAGAAAAACATTTTGACACCAGACATGAGTACGGGAAAAAATGGTCATGCTGCCCAACAGCAAAAATTGTTCAAAACCGAAAGCGGCCGCTCTTGGGCAGCCGAAATGTTTGCTCAAATGGACAACATCCGCGAAGACGCCGACAGCGAACCTGGCCAAAAATGGACAAGAACTGCGAACTGCTGTCAAGATTCGTGCTCATCGTTTCCGTACCCGTTTCTGGGGGGACAAACAGGTACTGATACTGCTAGACTGCGAGTCCGAGGAAAGGATAGCCGTATCAATGCCCCTTCCCTCCTCTGCATGTTGCGGCTATAGGGCAACTATCTTCGCGCTGTCGCGCCGCCCCCCACCCCCAGAACAGGATGAGGGACTCGCGCCTCGCTCTGAAATCGCCCAGACCGCGACGCGCGACTAACTTCGCCCTCTCGTGGTGGCACAAAAATTTCGCCCCCCGCGAGACGAGTAGGAGGCGCCTTGGCTGCGTCCCCTGCTGCCGAAGGCCCCTGGGGTCTTGCCGTTGAAACCCTCTTCGGCGATGAAGCGGGGGACTCCGCGCCGGCGATGCGCGACGGCCTCGCCGCGTCGCCCGCCGCCGGCCCTCTCGACGAGACCGAAGTCCGCACCTTGGGCGACGCCGCGGGGCTCCCAGTGGCGCTGGTGGCGACCGACGCCCTGGCCGCCCCAGGCGACGACCGCGACGCCGCCGCCGGGGCCGCCTTGGCCGCGCCGGAGCTGGACGCCGTCGAGGTCCGCTTCACCGTCGCCGAGGGGCTGGGCGTCCCCACCGGACTCGCCGCCGCGTCGGCGGCGGCCGGCGCCCTGGCCGCCTGGGGCAGCGCCGCCACCTTGGGCGTCGTCGAGGTCCTTTTCGGCGAGGGCGCGGGCGCCGCAGCCGCGCTGGCGGCCGCGTCGGCGGCGCCCGGGGGCGCTGGCGCCTTGGCCTTCTTCTCGGGCTTCTTCTCGACCACAGGCGGGGCCTCGGTCTGCACCTGGGCTGGGCGGACGAAGATCCCGTGGTTCGCGCTGCAGGCGAAGTACTGGACCTCCTTCACGGTGCCATTGTTCTTGCCTGTGGACGGAAAGGGGAGCTGTGCACATACACCGATCCAGGCCTGGTCCATGCTGGCCTGGTCCCTGCCTGGTATCGGTGTATGCGCACATTTCTCTTCGCACGATGCCTACTGGCTCGTCCAGCTCAATGCCGACCCATGTGCCGTCGGCAAACTGGGTGGCGTCCAGGTAGCGGATGTAGCCGGCCCTCTTGAGGGGAACGTTCGAGGGGGACCAGCTCAGGGGGGAGACACCGAGCTGGAATCGGCGATGCATCACCGATAGATCGGCGATAGGCCCCCGATAGCAAATCCTCATGGTCCTGGGCGGGGTGGGGCTATCGGGCCCTTCTCGGCGATCAATGGGCGACTGGGGCTCCATGTACCCCCCGCTGACCCTATCCCACCCCTAATGTTGCCCCTGACCTCTGGCTAATCCACACCCGCTGCCCCACAGCAAGCTGGTCTGTCATAACGTAGCCAGGCGCGCTGCACGATGCACCCACCGCTTGGGCCAACGTGGCTATGTTTTGCCGCGAGCGAGCGCGAGGAGGGCGTGAGCCGTCGATTAGCAGTCGACCCACAACCACCAACAGAAGTGAACAGAAACACCTTGGGACCACCGCACTACTGCAAACTTCACTGCAAACTTCGGCTGCCGAGCGCAGGCAGCCTTCCACAATCAGGCCCGACCACGCAGATCCTGGACTCGGCAACGAATCGGTGCAGGAGCGGTGTCACGAGGAGGGAAACAACAGAATTGAGCACGTGGACGCGCATTCCGTCTCCAACTTCAAGCCGCAAGTCTTTGTATGGCAGTCCCCCCTGGCATAGCGACACGTATGCGGAGACACCCAGAGACTCCGTTTTGCCTGCGCGATGAGAAATGCACCCAAGGGGACGCGGACTGCACACGTTCAACAACTTTCTGTGCCACCAGTGGAGACACCACCATCACTCCAAGGTCGTGGGCCGTTTGGGTATGCTCCCTCCAGACAGGAAATTCTGGCACGGGGACAGACATAAGAGAGTCGTTAGACAGGAAGGTGCAAGGGACAGCCGGGGACAGACGGCGAAAGAGACTGGCGGCGACGCACAGGTGAACCGCAAGCACCAGGCCGGGAACAGCTGAAGACACGGACGGCGAATGAGATAGGCATCGAAGGAGGGCAGCACCCAGGGCAGGGGACGAGTCATAGACAAGGGAGGCGAGAGATGTCCCCGACGCAGGAAGGGCAGCACCAGGTCCAGGGACGGCCCAGGACAAATGACGGCAAAGGAAGTGGATGGCGACGGGGGGCGCACGTCCGGTTCAGGGGCAGTCTGGGGAAATCAAAAGGCACCGATACCGCCACTCCCTGGACCTCTCCCGGGGCGCGTTCTGACCAAGATGTCGAGGCGAATCCAGCGGTGGCGACGAGGGCCTTCCAGGAGGTACAAAAGAGGGAAAACGAGGCGCGTGTCGCCGCATGGGTACCTGTCCCTCCTCTGAGACGGGGGGCACGCATCAGGTCCATTGGAGCGCGTTTCTTCATGTTCGGCGATGACGGGCGTCATGGGGGGGGGGCAAAGGGGGGGGGTATGACGTAACGCCCCCCCCCCCGCCGTGTGGTTCCGGCACTGCAGCCGCGCCCGCGCGCGCGACGCGACGAGCGACGAGCGACGAGCAACGAGCGACGACGACGACGCGAGCAGCATGTAGGTGACGATATGCCCCACTGCGCCTGTGTACGCCACAACGCTCGCGTGTACCACAGCGCGCGTGTATACCACAGCGCCTGCGTACACCACAACAACCGTGTGCAACGCAACGCCTGTGTACACCACAATGCTTGCGTACACAACAGCGCCGGTGTACATGTGTACACCGCAGCTACCATGTGCAACACGGCGCCTGTGTACACCACAATGCTTGCGTGCACCGCAGCGCTTGTGCACGCCACGGCGCGCGTCTACACCACAGCACCCGCGTGCAACGCAGCGCTGGTGTACACCGCAATGCCTGCGTGCATAGGACAGGTAGAATGAGCATGTACGTGAGGATCTGCTGCGGACAACTAGACGCCACGCCAGGGAAGTGCTGATAATCGAATGCGACGTTCTTCCTTCCTCCCTCCTCCTCCTCCTCCTCTTCCTCCTCCTCCTCCTCCTTACCCCCTGTCGTGCGGGTTGGCGCTACAGCGCACGTGCGCATCTGAGCGCGCACCGCAAAATGGTCTATTGAATCGGTCCACTTGGCTCTCGGACGGCCAATTTAACTGGAGCTTCCTGGACGCAGATGGGAGGAGTTAGGGTGATGCGGGCGGACTCGGGGGGACTCGTAGATTCTAGTGGCGCTCCGTTATCCCTGAGGATTATTATATATTATTTCCTGTGGAATCCACAAGCGCTCCATTTTGTCATAAGGATTCGTTCGGACATTCTATATACAACACTGGTGCTGTGTTGCACACGGTTGCTGTGGTGCACACAGGCGCCATGGTGCACACAGGCACTGCAATGCGAGCAGGCATTGTGGTGTACACTGGTGCTGTGTTGCACACGGCTGATGTGGTGTACGCAAGCGCTGTGGTGTGCACAAGAGCTGTTGTGCCCGCAGGCTCGGTGGCACAATCTGACGCTGTGTTGCACGCGGCTGCTGTGGTGTACATAGGCGGTGGGGTGTACACAGGCGCTGTGGAGCGCGCAGGCGCTGTGGTGTACACAGGCGTTGTGGTGCAAATCGCAACCTACATGCTGGCGCTACCCGTCCTCCGTCATTCCTAAGCACTCCAAGACGCCGCCGGCGCGACACGTGACGACATCGACCCCGTCCCCCCCCCTAGATGATTGCCGTCATCGGCCCGGAATAAAAAACAGGTTTCAGCCGTGTCCGCGCGCACGACGAGTATGAGCAATGAGCAATGAGCGACAAACCACGAGCGACGACGACGGCGACGGCGACGACGACTGCGGACCAGACTCCTATGCGGATTCCTGCGCGGACACCTCCGCGGATCCCAAAACGCACGGCGGCAGCGCCTGTAGCGCACTGGGGGGGGAGCGTTACGTCATAGGGGGGGGGACGGGGGGCGAGGGCCATGACACCCGTCACGCCCCAAGAATGAAGAAACGGGTTCTTGTTGCGGATGCCACGACAATGGGCACCCGAACAGTCCTATCATTGAATCTGAAATGTGCTAATAGTGTCGGAAAGCTGTTCTCAGCATGTTTTTTAAGCATGATGTTTACATGCTTAACACATGCTTGGCACATGTTCAACACATGTCTTAGACATCTGGAAAGTATTTGGCAACATGCTTCCTCTCCGTTGACCGTCCTTGGCAGCGAGGGCGGGCAGCGCCAGGGCCAGCCAGGGAGGCCACGAGAGAGAGGCTCGGGCGAGGCAGCCGGCGAGAGGCCCCAGGAGGCAGGCGCCGGAGGAGCACCACAGCAGGCGCCGAGGGGCCAAGGCAAGGGCGCGCACTGCCAGCGGGCGAAGATCGGTGTGAGATGCAGTCAAAACGTATATAAAGGGCCTGTGGTCAGGGCGCAAGACCCTTGGAGGCTGAAGTTGGGATCTTTTAGGGCGGCGGCGAGCAGTGAACACGGCAAAGGACGGGCCACAGAGGCAAGGACGCAAGGGCATCCTAGATGAAGGCGCGCGTCTTTACTAGGCGCGTTGACTGTAAGCTGTCCCGCGGTCGGCGACGACGCCTGTCCCAGGACGGCTGGAAAGCTTACGTCCCCACCTGCCACCGTAGATGGGCATAACATTTTTCCAGCCGCCCTGGGACAAGCGTCGTCCCCGATCGCGGAGCACTCGTTACAAAAAACCGTTGTTCGCCCGCGAACCTGGCAGCCGCCCGTCCTCCAGCTGCACGAGGAAACAGGAAAAAGAAAAGCGTTGGATATATGAACGCAAAACCTTGTCCGCGATCGCCCCACACTCAGTGCATAACCAAACCTGAAGGGTCGAGTGGACATTCAGGGTGTGCGCAGTGTGGGCCCAACCCCCCGCGATATGGATTCGCGCCCCCTTCATCGGCGAAAACAAGACCCCATCGACATTAAATAACCTAGGACATTCGGAGTCGACGAATTCGCGAACGGTGGCGATGGTCGCGGGTCCGCAACACTTCAGGCATCGCCGACCGCATTCGGACAGGCAGTGCTTGGAAAGAAGGGCGGAGACAATTGTGGCGGCAGGGGGGGAAGGGGGAGGAGGAGGAGGAGGGGCCTCACAGGAGCCACGGGGGCCTCGGGGCACGTCCTTCATCTCACGCTCGGCCTCATGGCTGGCCGCAATACTGTCAAGCGCGGCTCGCAGGAGCCTCAGTCGCATGAGGTATGCCTTCCTCTCAATCATGAGTATGGGGTGGCGAATAACCGCGGGCAGCCTTACCTTGGCAGCTGCCGCCCCCGCCAGCTCGTCGGCTAACAGGTTGCCGATCACCAGATGCCTGTTCGCCCTCTGGGCGACGATGTCCTGGGCCGTGCAGTGGGATGGTGTCCACAGCACCGCAGTCTCACAGTGGTGCCGCGTCTCCATCAGGTCGCCTATGAGCTTCCACAGGTCGGCGTCCTCCCCTGTCGGGTGTCGGTAGGTCTGGGCGTACCATCCCGCTGCCACGTACTCGCAGTCCGCGGCGTACGTGAGGTATCGGTTCGTGCACCAGAGAGCCAGGTACAGGGCATACAGCTCGCCTCGTGCAACCACTTGCCTTGGTCAACCTAGCTGGCCGAATACAGTTCCATGGAGGCTGATGATTGGCACAAGACTCAGAACGCAAACAATTGCAACTCCAATTCGTATGAAATCATTGACGCCTGCATCTGGTCCTCCACTGGCGCCACCAACGATCTCGACGGGTGAGCGCGCGCATCCGTCGCCGAAAATTCATTGAGAAAGTTCGCTAATTCCAGTAGATTCGAGGATCGTTTCACGAGAGGGCTCTGGAACCCGGGTCCATGGCCGAGGGATGAGGCCGCGCAGCCAGAAGCACTCAGCGACTTCAGCCTGGGCTGCGGCCTCTGGGACCAGGGCCTCGGATCTCACGTACGGCGTAGAAGACGCGTTCTTTTCGCACATCCAAAATTTGTGGAGGGCCGTCTCGGGGGCCCCCCGACACCTGTCACACAGGTTGCTGCCCTTATCCTTTCAGCTCGTCGCAGCGTCGTTGTTTGGTCCACAACCCCCCTGTGGCGATGTTGACAAGCAGCTCGCTCAGACGGACACCGTGCGGAAGCTGGCTTATCTGCTTCGGGAGCAGCCTGACAGATCGGTCGTCGATGCCATGCTCTGCGCCTCCTCCACAGAAGTGCCGTGCAGCCTTACTCAGGACAACGAATTCTGCCGAGCGCTGCACATCTCGAAGTAACCCACGATGTGTGTGTGCGTGTGTGTGTAAAAACTTATTCCCAGTGTTTATGGAAGCAGGAAGCTCCCATGCCTCCGTCGCCCCAAGCTGCGATGCGTACGACCACGTGTCCA